TTGTCAAATTTTTCCAAAGTAGCCATACCATTTTATATTTTCAGTTTCAGTTGCTTCATATCCTCACCAACACTTGCTAGTATCAGCCTTGAATTTTAGCCATTCTAGTATTATGTGCTATCCAGTAGTAGTAATAGCAGCAGCAGCAGCTCATTGTGGTTTTAATATGTGTTTCTGTAGTGATTAATTAAACATCTTTTAATATGCTTATTGGCCATTTATACATATATCTTCTTTTGTGAGTTGTCTATTCAAATATTTTGAACATTTTATCTGGTTGTTAGCCTCTTTGCTTGCTTAGTTGTAAGAATTCTTTATATATTGATGGATACAAAGTCTTTTTCCAAATCAGTGTTTTGCAGATATTTTCTCCCAGTCTGTGGCTTGTCTTTTCACTTTCTTAATGTGTCTTTTGAAGTGCAGAAGTTTTTAATTTTATGACATTCATTTTATAATTTTTTTATTATATAGATTATATTATTTGTGTCCTGTTTAAAAATCTTTGCCTAACTCAGTGAGGTTTTCTCTTATTTTTTATTCTATACATTTAATAATTTTGGCCCTTAAGTTTAGGCTCATTTTTCTTTCCAAGTAAGTCTTTATGTAGTGAGGTAAGGGTTTAGGTTCCCATTTTTTTCCCCATTCAAACATCCAGTTGTTTCAGCATATCTTTTCTTACAGGAATTCGTCTAGCACCTTTGTTAAAAATCAATTGACCATATAAGCGTGGGTCTATTTCCGAACTGTCTATTTTGTTCCATTAATTTATATGTCTACCCTTAGGCCAATACCACACAGGCTTGGTTACTTGATAACATTGTATAGTAAGTCTTAGAATCTGGCAGTATAAGCTCTCCAGCCTTGTTCTATTTAAGGTTATATGGTTATTTTAGGTTCTTTACTTCCCCAAAGGCCTGAAAGGATTTTGATTGGGATCATATTGAATTTGTAGATTTGTGAGGAATTGGCATCTTAAAAATAGTGAGTTTTCCAATCCATGAATATGGTATCTTTCTCCATCTATTTAGGTCTCCTTTAATTTCCCTTTGCAATATTTCATACTTTTATAGGTCTTGCACATCCTTCATTAAATTTAATCCTAAATATTCCGTTATTGTGAATTAATTTGGTTTCTTCTTTAATTTTCTAATTATTTGTTGCTAATATAGACTCATTTGTCTTTTGTATATTAACCTTGTAGTCTGTGACCTAATTTCACTTACTAATTCTAGTAATTATTTTATAGATTTCTTGGGATTATCCATGTATAGGATCTGCAAATAAAGACCATTTTTCTCCTCCTTTTCTAATCTTTATGCTTACTCTTTTTCTTACTTTATTACCTTGGCTATACCCTCTAGTACAATATTGAATTGAAATGTTAAGAGTAGAAATTCTTGCTTTGTTCCTGATCTTAGGGAGAAAACATTGAATCTTTCACCTTTGAGTATTTATGTTACCTACAGAATTTTGTAGGTGCCCATAATCAGGTTTAGGAGGTTCCCTTGTATTTCTAGTTTGCTAAGGGCGTTATCAGGAATGGTTATTGGATTTTTTTTTTCAGCTGTTGAAATACTACATGGTTCTCTCCTTTGTTTTCTTAATATGATGAATTATATTGATTCCTGGCTGCTTGAATCAACCTTGAATTCCTGGAATTAACTCTACTTGGTTATGATTATTATCCTTTTTATATATTGTTGGATTGAATTCCCTAAAATTTTGCTAAGATTTTTGCATCCATGTTCAAACGGTACTATAGTTCTGCTTTCTTGTTTTGTGTTTGTCTGGATTTGGGAATTAGGGTAACGTTGACCGTAACACATGATTTGCGAAGTGTTCCCTCCTTCTCTATTGTTAAAAGATTCCAAGTAAGATTGTTTTCATTTCTTCCCTAAGAATTCACCAATGAAGCAGTCTAGACCTCGGTTTTGTTTGTTTTGTGGGGAGGTTTTTGAATTTGATGTATTTAATTGATATGTGGGGTATTCAAATTTTCTGTCTTCAGGCTCGGTTTTTGTCATATGTATCTTTCAAAGCAATGTTTCCAGTTCATGTAGGTTGTCAAATGTATTGACATGAAATATGTCTGTGATATTGCCTTATTAATGTCAGTAGCTTCTGTAGTAATATTCCCCTCTTACTAATTTTGGTAATATGTTTTTTCTTTTTTCTTCATCAGTCTAGCTTAGAGGCTTCTCAGTTTTATTTATCAGTCCATTAAACCAGCTTTCATGATTTGTTTTATTTCCTATTTTGTTGACTTCTGCTCTTTAGGGTTTCTAATTTTTTAAGGTAGGAACGAAGATCACTAATTTTAGATTTTTTTTTCTCCCCTAATATCAGCCTTTAAAGCTATAAATTCTCTCTAAACACTAGTTCACATCCCACAAATTTTGATAGGTTGTATTTTCATTATCATTCCAGTCAGAATATTTTAAATTTCCCTTCTGATTTCTTTGACTGTGAATTATTGAGAATTGTGCTGTTTTCCTTTCCAGATATTTGATCAGGTTTTCCTAGTTATCTTATTGTTAATTGATTTCCAATTTAATTCCATTCAGAGAGTATGCCTTGAATTTCCATCTTTTTAAATTTACCAACACTTGTTTTATGACCTAGCACATCCTGGTGAATTTACCATGTGCACTTGGAAAGAATGTATTCTGCCATTGTTAAGTATAGTGCTCCACAGATGTTCAGATCATCTGTGTCCTTGCTTATTGTTTCTAGTTATGTTGGTTTCTGAGAGAGTAGTGGAGAAACAGGTTACATCTCTAATGGGAGGTTTGGTAAAGTAATAACTGCAAAGGGATATACATAAAGGATAGGAGTAATTTGTGACTGTATTTTATAACCTACCACAGGGTTCATTTTAACTATTCTCTGTGCTTTTGTGTATATTTTTAATTTTCCATAGTCTTAAAAACCAAAACCTCTTGGGCAATGATGTCATATTTCAGGGAGTACATGCCACATGCCCCGCCAGCTGTAAGAAGAATATTTGGGATTTCTATTTCTATGTATTTCTACCTCCTCATTTAAAAAGTTCTTTGATGGTGTATGTTTTATAATGTATGGTATATACAATAGTCTTATAATTTTAAAATACAGATATATGCGTATGGAGGGGAATTATATAACCAGTGTGTATTTTTTGGCTATTCTTGTTTTTAAATGGTCTTGCCCCAGTGGAGATGTTAGTTTTGTTCCAAAAGTCACAGTATCATTTGGATGGTCTTGTAAACCTTAAATTTTTAAAATAACAAAATTTTTGAGAATAGTCATTTTTAAGTGCTTTGTTTCAGTAGGTTTTTAATTAAAAAGTGTTTTTATACTCTAACAAGGAAAGAAGTAAAATAAATGGTGCCAGGTTCTGTTGCCTGCTTAAGTATGAAATTAAGAGCATTTACTGGTAATAATTGGTGGTAAAAATTGGGGAGAAAGGGAAATAATTTAGTATTTGCCCTTACTAATTATTCTTACTGAAAACCTTCTCTCTTTTCCATCTAGAATGTATATTTCAAGGATCATTTGAAATAGGAAAATCAAAGGGAATAATATGATTGGTAGGCAGAAAATAAACTGAATTATCCAAAAACCTATACTAGCCTCAGTTCTCATCTCAACTCCATCCCTTCCATTCCACTTTAAGAATGAAGAATATATCACAAAAAATATTCCAAGTGTTGATTTTAAAATTTATACTACTCAGACCCATATAATTTAGTTTTTTATTCATTTGCTACCATTAGCTGTCTGATATCAGAAAAATTCACATTCTAAATTTTAGCTTTGGCACTCTTTATATTCAGAATATATTTGTGGATTTGAGAGAATGTGTTTTTAAAGGCTTTTGTTAACTGAAAAACACTTTTAACATTATAAGGTGATTATTTACTATATCATAAGGCAAGAATTAGATGTTTTTAGAGGTTTAAACATAAATGATTTTTGAAAGGGTTGTTTTGGAGGTTTTTTGGTAAACTTATAGGTAAACAAAAACTTGACTGCATTTCGCATTGAGTATGATTAAGATTTTCCTTAATTTAAAAGCAACTTTACAAAATCTACTACACTCATATGAAAGAACAACTTCCAATAAAGGTGTTTTTTTGTTGTTGTTTTGTTTTTTTTACCTGCCAACATCATTAGGTGGAAGAATTGAATTTCTAGCTTTTAAATGGGATTTATATAATAAAGGAATACAAACAGTGATATATTTAGATATTAGCTGGTTTGGCAAAGTCTCTCATGAGATACCTTGAAGAACAGAGCTGAGAAATGTGGGCTGAATAATACAATTAGACTGATTTGTAATTTAGCTCAATAAACAGAGATTGAATTCTTGTCACCAGAGGGATGTGGCATTCTTTTTTTTTAAATCAGTGATTCGAATACAGACAGCATTTTTTTTTTATCACAGATATATGAATCTGGGATACATACTTCTGATAAATTGGATGACATTTTTATAGAAAACAAAATGATCTTGATGAGTTAGAACAGGATATCTCACTAACAAGATAACTCTTAATAAAACATAAATGTCAACTCTTTTCCTTTGCCTCCCCCCACAAAAAAATAAATAACAGAACACCATAAAAAACAGAGGTTCCAAAGAACATCTAATGACATAGATTATTCCCATTATATTTCCATTCATAATAGGATCTCAATTTCGTGTTAGATTGTTGATAGTGTAGTTCTAGATAATATGATTAGGAGTTGTTTTCATTTTGCCTTTCTGTTTATTTCCAAAATTTCCACAGTGAGCATGTATCTTCAATAAGAAACACTGAAGAAAGTGTTTTTTTGATGACCCAAAGGTGCAGTCAGAGCACATGTTAATTCATATTGTTACAGTAAAGATTTCCTTCCTCCTTTGTAATAACAGTCACCTTGGTATAATTCAGCATCAACTGTAGTGTTCTCAGTGTGCTAATGTTTTCTTATTCCGCTCCTTTGAATCCATTTTCATTTTTTTCTCTTTATCAAAGGTTGAATTAATAAAGGGGAATTTACAGAGTGTTGGACTTGCAGTTCGTCTTGTCCAGTCAACTGACGGGTATGCTGGGCATGTCATAGTTGAGACTGTGGCCCCAAACTCACCTGCTGCAATTGCAGATCTTCAGCGAGGAGATCGACTGATTGCTATTGGAGGTAATTATGCTAATATGCAATATACTTTACATTTACAGAGAAACCAGGGAGTAGATGTGGGAGTTTGGCTCTCTCTTCTTGTTTTTATAAGCACATGTTACTTTTATAATGCAAAGAAAGTAATAACTTTGTTATAAAAATCTGAAGGAAGCCTTAAAAATTAATTTAAAATACATACGCCATTTTAGTCCTAATGAATAAATCTTTAAAAAACTTTAGACCAGTTTTCTATAACCCCTCTAATTTTCCCTTCCTTCCTACCTCTAATCCTGCTTTTTTACTGAATGTGAAAGAAAGGGAAAGTCAGCAGTTGTCTGTGTGATCATCACCATTTCTACTCTGAACCTAAAATTGATAGTATTAACACTACTACCCCTATCAATTAGGACTAGATAACGAGCAGGAGAGAGACTAATAGCACTTGTCTAAGAGGGCACACCTGAAGCTGCTCCATGGTCCCACATTGGTGGCCCCATATTATCCCTGACTGGCCAGCCATTTGTTATTAAGCTGTCATTCAGAGTGCAGCCCAAATTACTATCAGAAAAATGTGTTACCTTCCCATTAATTGGATTAATAACAAAAATTCTGTTGATAGGCAGATTATTTGCTTGAATGTTTATGAATTAGCAGTAGGACTCACTGTGAGAAAAAAGTCCAAACCTTTTCAGACCCTTATAGTATGTGGCCCACCATTCTAGATTTAAACGATTTCTTAAATACATGTTTGATCACAGTTATGCTTTTAAAGGCAATGTGGTATATTCTCTCACAGCTAAGACAATAACAAGGTAAATCAGTTCCTAAATCAAGGAGCAGTTATCCTTGGTTTACATGTCAAAGAAACTCTGCCTTTGTTTCAAATCCATCATGGCAGTAAAATGAGAAAAATGATTTGGTTACACACCTAGAAGCCCAACTAAGTCAGTATTTTCTCATGGAAATTTCTCTGATGATGTCATAAACAGCACTTCTCAAACGTTATTGTGTACTCCAATCACTTGGACTTGGTGTTAAAATTTGGATTCTGATTCAGTAGATCTGGAGCGGGGCCTAAGATTCTGCATTTCTAACAGGTTTCCAGATGATGCTCTTGGTCCACAGACAGGATAACAAAGCCATGAAATAAACCTCATCTGTTACATCGTTGTTTAACGTACACATACCAGTTACTCTCTTTCAGCCAAAAACCACAATTTAGTATTAGTTTCTACACATATGCTTTTTTGGTTTTATCTACAGGATCAAATTTTTTTTCATGTCCTTTTTTGAAAAGCTTTTGTTTTTACACAGTGGTATTATCAAAAATAAATCAAGCAATATAAATGTATGCAGAGTGAAAAAACAAGTCACCCCTTCCTAACATTTGTAAGAAAACATTGAGATAAAGGGCAGGTGTAGTACACGTTCATTTTTTTTATAGCTGTAATTTGTTTATATGTATATACAATAACTTTTTAAATATTTAGTAATGGGATTGGTGACAGCTGAAATAAGATTGACAAAATTTGTTATATCTGAAGCTCAATGATGAAGTTTATTATACTAGTTCCTCTACCTTTTTGTATATTTCAAATATTCCAAAAGAAAAGGAATCCTGATTTGGCCAACCAGTCCTGAGAGGCACAGTAGCCATCTCCGCAAAGCTCCTGGTGATTGGGGAAGAGATGAGAGGAGGGCAGGTGTTAAATCACAAAGAATGGGTTTAGGTTGAGTTGAAGTTTTTGCCTACTACAGATCATTAGATGGACTTAGCTCTCATTTAGGCATATGTGAAACTACAGTTTTTCTGGGATATGGTGGTTAGTTAAGGCTGAGGGAATCATTTAGAGCTGTATGTGAAAGCTCTGGATTTCAGTGTGATGAATTTATAGGCTAAAGTTTTTTGAGCTGAAGCTTTAGGAAAATTGGGGAGCAGTATATTTGGTGATTAAAATAGAGAAGGTGTGAGTGAGGAATCACAGTAAATCCAGTGATCAGGAAGAGCTGAACAGGAGATGAAAATGGACTGTAACTTCGACAGAATTGACAGCTGAGTGGATCTAGGGAGTCAGCTATCTCTGGGTTTCAACTCAGGTTAGCTGGGAGGGCAGCAAGTTGATTCACATGAGGACAGGAGGATGAGAAAGTCAAAGAGGGATTTTAACTACACTGAATTTGTAGTGTCTGATATCCCAGTGATATCCAGAAGTAGTTGGGAATGTAGGACAAGAGGGGAGACCAAAGGAACAGTTGATCTGTGAAACTGCTGAAATGGATGTAATCCAGGGAGAGAGCAAAACAGAAAGCTAATGACAGAGAAAACCGTGGAAATGTTTGCATACGATGGGCATACATAGATGGAGAAAAAGCAAGCAGAGGGGAGATGGTCAGACCAAATTGTGCAGTGTCATGAAAATCAAGGAAAAGGGAGGTTTTAAAACAGAAGGAGGAGGGGAACCAAAACATGAGCAAGGATAATTGACGCCGCAAAGGGCTGAAGGAGACGTGGGGAGGGAGGAATCCAATAAGGCGATGTCATCTACAGAATAAAAGAGCAGGAAGGATGGGCTTCAGGGGAATAGGAAAGGTTTGAAGCTGGTGTTTTAGAAACTTAGTTATTTAGAGACTAATCAAAAGAATGCTAAAACAGCACTGAGTGCCTTGCTGCAGATGGAGAGCATAACTTGGTGCCAGACCAGGTGATAAGCTCGGAAGAAAAGGGAGATGGTGGGGCTAGCAAAGCTGGGGATCAGAGAGAGGTAGATAGGAGAGGAAAGGGCTAGGGCAAAAGAATTGAAAATCTTGCTGTAAATATCATTGAAATCTTGAAACTGAGGTCAGGGAGAACAGCAAATGTTATCAGACCAGCTGGATCATGAGAGCGAGGGAGGGATGATTAGATCTGAAAATTACCTCAGAACAGATTCAGGTAGCCGACAGGACTGTAAGAGGTGGAAAATAGATTGCGATCAGAGGTTACTTTCCAAGTGAAAGATCTCTGCTGTGGACAAGTTCCAAGTGATGACCAGATCTAGACCATAGTCTTACCTGGGCAGTCGAAGTAGGAGAGGCTATAGGTTGAGGAACTCTGAAGTCAGGTTATTAGTTGGGGCTGATGTTACTTTATTTAGGATGATCCTAAGACCCCTTCTCACCTTTATCTGAGTCCTACAGAAAGGGATAGCCTGGGTAAGTACTATTTTGGGGAGGATAGAGAGAGGGCAGGAAACAAATAGAGCCTCTAAATGAGACACCTAGAAGATCTCTAGAAGAATATACCAGAAGCCACTGGCTTTAATTGCCTCAGGGAAGGGACAGTATGCCTAGGAGATAGAGGTAGAAGGGAGATTTTTCACAGTACATCTTTCTGTACCTTTTGAATTTTGAACTGTTAATGTAACACTTATTAGACAATAATAAAATGAAAACTTAAGGTAGGTATTATTGATTTAGATGCAGATAGTAACAAACTTGTTTAACTTTAAAACAACTTATGCCTTCCTTGTTCTTTCTGGTCCTGAAAAGGATTCGTTTGATGGGTAGTGCTAATAAAAACAATCTATAAGAGTCCACCATTCATCTCGTAATTCGAATCATTGACCACATAGCTTGTAATCCCTGACATTTTGGGATTTCCTTCAGTAGGATCAGTTTCTCATCATTCTAAGTCTGGTTTAACCATTAATAAAATCCTTTCAATAGGTCTCACTCTGCTCACTTAAATTGAGAAATAATATCATTTAAACTTAGGAATGGAAAGCAATTAGGAGTTAGCAGCTTGGCACATCCGTTTAAGGATTTTCATGTCATCATTTGGTTTGAAAAGGTAAACATTTCTAGGACATCAGTACATTTAAGGGTTTTATAATCAGTACACTAATGCATCCAAAAGCCAATAATATATTTAGGATGTTTCCTTATTACTTTTTCATTAGTGAACGAAGCATGAATTAATGATAATTATTTTTAGCAATTGAGGTGATTTTTATTGTAGTAATTTATGTCTTCCCTTTTAAAAATCTTAAAACAGGAGTGAAAATCACATCCACACTGCAAGTGTTGAAGCTTATCAAGCAGGCTGGTGACCGAGTCTTGGTGTATTATGAAAGGCCTGTTGGCCAGAGTAATCAAGGTACAGTGCTGCAAGATAATTTTGGACAGTTGGAAGAAAACTTTCTGTCAAGCTCATGCCAACCAAATTACGAAGAGGAAGCAACTGGGTTGGCAGTAGATACTGAAAACAGAGACCTGGATTCTGAATTTGAAGACTTGGCAAGTGACGTCAGAACACAAACTGAATTCAGAGAGGAGGCGCAGTCAGTAAGTCATAGTCCTAAACGTACTCCAACAACACTTTCCGTTAGACCCCTTGGAACGGTATCACCAGTTTTAAACCGTAAATTAGTTGTAGGAAGTCACCCACCACCACCAAAACTTCCATCCAAAGAAGGAAATAAGCCCTTAGCCCTAAAACCTGAGATAACAGACCCAGCACAAGTGTCAAAACCCACCCAAGGATCCACTTTCAAACCACCTGTGCCACCACGACCACAAGTGAAAGTTCCTTTGCCTTCTGCTGATGTCCCAAATCAGGTGGAACCAGACGTTCTTGCTGAAAAGCCAGAAAAGGTACTGCCTCCTCCTCCTGCAGATAAACCTGCTGAAAAGCAAGCAAAAAATATAGAAAACATAGAAGATGTAGCTGCAACTAAGCAGTTTTTAGCAAAACAGGAAGTGGCGAGAGACTTAACTTCAGAGAGTTCCTGCCCTCCTAAGGACAGTTCAGATGACCCTCAGACATGGGAATCATCAGAAATTCCTTATCGTAATAAGCTAGGAAAATGGACAAGAGCCGGAGCAGCCTGTCTCTTTGACATAGAAGCCTGCCACAGATACTTAAACATTGCACTGTGGTGCAAGGATCCTTTCAAGTTAGGGGGGCTCACCTGTTTGGGGCACGTTAGCCTGAAACTCGAAGAGGTGGCTTTAGGGTGCCTCGCTACATCAAACATGGAGTACCTTTCCAAGTTCAGGCTGGAAGCGCCATCACCTAAAGCCATGGTCACGAGAACCGCACTACGCAACCTGAGCATGCAAAAGGGATTCAATGACAAATTTTGCTTTGGTGATATAACTATTCACTTCAAATATTTGAAAGAAGGAGAACCAGACCACCCTATAGTTACTAACTTGGAGAAAGAAAAAGAACTTCACTTGGTCGAAGAGGTTCCTGCCTTAGCGAAAGAGGAGCAGCACTGTGTTGGACAGATGGGTTTAACAGAAAATAAACACAGTTTCCAGGATACTCAGTTCCAGAACCCAACTTGGTGTGATTACTGCAAGAAAAAAGTCTGGACTAAAGCCGCTTCCCAGTGTATGTTCTGTGCTTATGTTTGCCATAAAAAATGTCAGGAAAAGTGTCTAGCGGAGACGCCTCTTTGTGGAGCAACTGATAGGCGGATAGACCGGGCCCTGAAAAACCTCAGGCTGGACGGACAAGACACCCTCTTAGGCCTGCCTCCTCGTGCTGATGCTGAAGCCAGCAAGTCAGTCAATAAAACAACAGGCTTGACGAGACATATTATCAATACTAGTTCTCGTTTGTTAAACTTGCGTCAGGCCTCTAAAACTCGCCTTGCTGAACCAGGAACTGATCTAGTGGAACCTTCACCAAAACACACACCCAACACGTCAGACAACGAAGGCAGTGACACAGAGGTCTGTGGTCCAAACAGTCCTTCTAAACGGGGAAATAACACAGGAATAAAGTTAGTGAGAAAGGAGGGTGGTCTGGATGACAGCGTCTTCATCGCAGTTAAAGAAATTGGTCGTGACCTGTACAGGGGTTTGCCCACAGAGGAAAGGATCCAGAAACTAGAGTTCATGCTTGATAAACTGCAGAATGAGATCGATCAAGAGTTGGAACATAATAATTCCCTTGTTAGAGAAGAAAAAGAGACAACCGACACAAGGAAAAAATCCCTTCTTTCTGCAGCTTTGGCTAAATCAGGTGAAAGACTACAGGCTCTAACACTTCTTATGATCCACTACAGAGCAGGCATTGAAGATATCGAATCTTTAGAAAGTTTGTCTTTAGACCAGCACGCCAAAAAAATAAGCAAGTACACAGATGATACAGAAGAAGATCTTGATAATGAAATAACCCAACTAATAGACTCTCAGCCATTCAGCAGCATATCAGATGACTTATTTGGCCCAGCCGAGTCTGTGTAACAAACAGTCTATTTAAACTTTGAGGTGTTGAGAAAGTTTGATCTAACGTACCACAGATACAACCACGTTTAAACCCTCTAATAACGCACTTCGGCCTGCTTCTCCACCGTTCTTTGCTTATGTAAGAAGAATGGAAAGGTGGTTTTTCAGCAAAAACATGACCGGCTCACGAAATTGGTTGTTTCAGATTGCATTTATAGCTATGTTTTTTGGGTTTATACTGGGAATTTATTTTTACTAATTTATTTTTAACTTTTTCTAATTATGGAATTATGTAAGCTAACTTTTCCTGTTTATGTATGTGATGTCTAGTGCTACTTACCGTCCTCTGAGTTTTTGAATTAGTGTTAAATAGGATACTGTCCAGATTCTCATAATATTTTTATTTCTATCATGGTTATAACCAATCTGCTGCATGCCTGAGCCGACAGCAGCAATCATTGAGGGAGCAGGTTTGACTCTTTGTGTTATGAAATTTGTCATCTCTACTCGAGATTTTTATGATTTGGGGGTTTTGGAGGTGCTTTTTGTTTTGTTTTTGCCAAATGTAACATAAAAGCAGACACTGGTTTTAGTCAGTTATGCTGATTTAGTAAAAAAAAAAAAATTTCATATATCGTTTGCTTCCTATGCCTCTGAAATTTTTTTCTGGAGTTTTTATGCAGTTGAAATATAGGAAGAATATAGTGATAATTTGAAGAGCTTGCATTGAAAAACAGTGTCATAGGGAATAAATAAAGAATGCAGTTGGTAAAGAAGTTTGTAGAGAAGATAATGAGATTACTAAAAAAGAGTAATCAGTAGGATTATAATCTTTCAAAATGTTGCTTTCCTTTGAAATGGAATTTCTAAACATTGATTACTTTTCATTTGCAGTTCTCCCTAGGAAGTAAAGCATGTGCAAGGATATTTAAAGTTTCAGAGGACTGTTCTTAAAATGACTGTTAACTGATTTGGGCTGATTTTAGGAACATTTTCATGCAGGAGAATGTGAAAAAGAGGGATCATGCGAAATAGGTGTATTGCTTTGACATCCTGTAGGCTTAAATGAACAGTGATCATTCTGAATGCTTCTGGAGCTCAGACGATCTTAATGCATTTAAAAAAACAGACAGTATAGATCTATAGGAATGGGGACCAGTTCTCTTAAAATGAAGATCTATTGATGTTTGGTTCTTCATGTGGATCCCAGTAACACGTGACTGAGGGAAACCCTGTGAGCGTGATCTCTGTGGTATACCGTAAAGCCTGGCCTGTCATACGCCTATAAAATATGGATATGTTTTTCCCCTTTTGTAGGTAACTACTATGATAATTGATATATAGTGAAACTGATATGAATTTAAAGCGAGATGGGACAGCTTATATGGTGGACAGGAAAAGGCATCGTAGAATTAATAGTAAGGGTTCTGGCCCATGTCCATAACCCTGGATGCCATACAAGAGTTTTAAGTTCAGGCTCTTCCACTGGCCATGAATGAACCATATAACTATAGACAAGCCACAGAAAGGCTCCATGTTGCAGTCTCCCCAGCTCTGAAGTAGGAATAAACAAGATTAACTACCTCACAGGATTGTTGTGAGGGAAACAACAGCATAATTGCAAAAGTGCTCTGTTCAGTAAAAAGCTATTCACATCAAAGGTATGACTTACATGGATGATAAAAAGAATGTTTTTGAGGGTAGAAAAGTTATTCCATTTTTAAAATCAATAGCCAATTCTCATTTCTGTCAGTAAGTGAAATATTAGGAACCTACTTTCTTGACCAATAACGAAAATATATCTGTGTGTACCCTTTTTTTGTTGTTTAAGCATGCTTGCATTTTAAGAGAACACTGCTATAGAAGTCTTTATACACAAAATTCTCTGAAAGCTAAAATGCTGTTCTGTAACATATGCTTGAAATAATCTGCCCAGTTTAATAACCAACTTTCATCTTATTATAAAAAACAACTTACCATTGGTAACCTGGAAGGCAGAGTGTCTGTAAGTGGCCAGTGTTTATGGATCATACCATGGAAGTTTTAGTGACATCCAAGCATGCTGCTGAAACTGATGCACTTGAAAGAGCTGTAGAAATAATGCAAAACTTTGGTTTCATAAAAAAAATACTCATGTTTTAAAAGTATTTAATTCTGTAGAACCACAATTATGGAAAGCTCGGTAATGCTGCTAACTATATTTGTAAAATATACCTTTAATGTAGTGCAATATTTTTATATATATATATTGGGAGAAGCAGTAGAGGCATCACAGCTGTACCTTAGTGCAGGCGGGGACACTCCAAATGGCCTAGGGGGATAGTAAGGTCTAAGGCTTCAATGAAAACAGTTGTATTATATTACATTCCTGATGTAATCTTGCTGCCATGCTATGTTATCAATAGCTTAAAAATAATAAATAAAAACTACCACAGAAAACAAGAATATCTTCATTTGATGACATCTGAAAAAGGTGATTGCTGCATCTCTGTGGAATTGTCACCTCGTATAATTTGGCCACGTAAACAACCTTAACAGTCCATTTCTGCCAAACAAAATTGCTATTTTGGAAATTGCATAAAAGCATTAAATTTTGGTTTTGCTGGTATTTAAGCTTTGAAGTACAGATTCATGGATTTGCCTCTGCTACTTATTAGTTATTGGACTATTTAAAGTGTATTTTCTATATTTAATGATTGGGTTAGACAGTCAAGCTGAGCAACATTTTAGCCAGTTTTAGAATCAGATTAATATGCTACATTTCTTAATGTTAGACCTCATATTCTTCCATATCAGAACTAGTTGAATACCGTGGCCATTTGTGATTTTTAGAAAAGAAAACACAAGCTAAAAATTTGAGGGTACTGTCAAGTTCTAAATTTAAGTATATCTGAATTTGTTTTGAGGAAATTTGAAAATATTTGGCTCTAATAGTAAGATAATAAAGATAATAAAATCTCAAGTCCCCTAAAAAGTGAATAAATTTAAAATCCCTTTAAAAATGTATCGTCTTTATTACTAAATTGAGATAATAGCTTTCCTTTTAAAAAGGAGGGGAAGGAGGGTTCCCCTAATTCTTTTTAAACCATGGATGCCTCTTAAGATCTGATTAAAACTCTGGACTCTCACCCCTAAAAGATAGACACATGGCACACCCTAAGTTTTATGGGACTTCAGGGGCCCAGGGGCCCACTGTATCAAATGGCTGCATAGTTTAGTTTATTTTCATCAGATATACTTGTTTACAGCAATCAGGAAAATAATACAACTTTAGAGATGCAAGAATAATTTACTGAATTTTTTCACACTGACAACATGTGACTAGTTACGTATTTCAATTTAAAACATTTTTCAATGCCAAAATGTATGGTTCAAACTAACCTGGAGTGGATTTTACCTGATGCCCGAAAGCAGAGAAGAATAGTTTGTAATTAAATTTCCACAGTCAAAACAATGCCTTCTTATGTATTTGACTCCAACGACAATGTCTGGTTTATAAAGGAATACAAATAGGCACAGCGGTGTTCAGAAGATTTATTAACTAGCTAAAACATGACTTAGGCAGATACACTTAGCAGTCAAAAGAAAATTAAATATTCATTGCTACCTCATTAAGGTTTTTGTATCTGTTTGCCAGGTACAAACATAACCACCTCTGCTCAAAAAAAATGTCCAGAGAGCTATATGTTCTTTGTTCTGACACACATTTAAAAAATAAAACCTTTTCAGTCTTGCTAACCCCATATAGAAGGCCTTACAATTTTCCCTCCCCGCTCATACAACTGATCTCTTTTGCTCCCAAAACAGTTCTGAAAAACTCAACAAATCTTTTATCTCTAGGGATCGACAGCAGGCATGCCGTTGCCAGTCATTCTTGAAAAGACCAAAGCCTTAAAGGCAAAAATAAAATGGGAATAAATTATATGGTGTTGGGGGCAGGAGAACTACAAATCCGCTAGTAGAATTGATTTGTAGCGCTTTCTTTTGTAAGGCTCTCCCCCGTGGAGTAGAGAACCACCTGCCTCCGAAGCCATCTTCCCAAGTCTCGGACTTGATTAAGTTGCCAGATAGAAATATGCGAGCGGGAAGCTTGTTTGCTTCCAACACACTACACACGACAACCAGACTGCAAGTCATTCAGAGCCCCACAGAAAAGCTTCATAAAGCAAGTGGATATGAAGTATTAGCTAGCTTTCCTAGAGAATTAAAGTTCTAAAGTTCTTTGCTCCTTGTCCAAGTTAACAGAAACAATTTTAGCTTAAAGGACTGACATTAGCTAATTTTTGTTTACAATTACAGAATTAACAAGTATTTGAGACATTCCACACTATCTTCACACTCCATATCTCATACAAAACCTCATATAAACTGACAATGTTCACTAACACAGTATTTGCTGTTACATTGAAAAGGCACATCAATGTTGTCATGCTTAGAAAAACTACGTTACACAGCACTAGATGATACAGTAATACATAGACGTTTTTAGATGTTCATTTTTTTCTGCCTGTGAAAGGGGGTGTGTCCTGACCACCCTATTACTTTTACCTGTTTTCCTAACATGATTCAAGATACAGTTTCAGTCCTCCTTCACCTTCATTTAAAATTTGTTTTCACATCGATGTGAACTTTCAGAAGTCTAGAAAATAATAGTTTCAGACAACTCAAAATTAATCTCTAGAAAACACTTGGATGACCTCCAAACAGGTCAAAGATATAGTCTGATTTTTTTTATATCATAGCAGTTAGCCTTTCAAATTTCTTTTCTAAAACTTGGGACTAGATGTTGATATAATCTATGCTTAACAACCTTGACAGTATAAGGTACATCTACTCAATTGTCTTTCATCCAGTAAGACAAGTATATATCTTAAAGGGAAAGCTGCCAGCTGTTCCTGACTATCAATTCAGGTGCTTTTCTCTGCTTTCAGAACATTTACTGTTTTTCTCTTATTGTCCTTCATGTCTGCTGCCAACCACATGACATGTAAACATTTAATTTACAACCACCTGTTTCCACGTAGATGATTACATACAGGTAACTAATGCCAGCTAAGATTTATGAATAAATCCAAAAGATGACTGACTCATGTTCTTGTCCTCTGCACTTGAGATAACTAGCTTTTAACTCAAATATATTGATAATAATTACAAGTCGACTAACTCAACACTCAGTGTCACTACATAGCACATGCCGTCTTACTTGATTCTGTTTTTCTGACTTCCTTCGAGTTTCTTATTGTTGGAAGTGTCTCAGAGATAATGTGTGTTTTAGTTTTAAACACTCATTACCAATATTCAGAAAAAAAATATAAGATTTTTTTGCCCAAGTGTTCGTGAATGTAAGTTAAAAAATTATATTTGATTTGGATTCAAATATTTATAGATTTACACTATATCTATTTCGTCAAAATATATTGTATAATATTTAATAAAACCAAATACATAAAATAAAGTTTTCAACACTTTATACAAACCCCTAGAAAAGCTGCTTTTTCTTTATAAGGCTGTTGGCAATCAATCATAACCATGGAAAATAATAACCTTTGGTTGTTTTACTCTTTCACCAGGGATGAATGGTATGACGAAGACAGTTCTGGATGGGTCGTTTCACTGGAAACACAGTTTTATACAATTAAATACTTTGATGACTTTTGAGGGTCTCAGTCACTTTCAGTGTCTTCATCACCTAGTGGATACGACTGGATGTTATTCTGAGTGTACATTTTTGTTTTAATGGGGCAGTTGTGATCCATGAGAATAGCCTAAAAGAGAGCAAAGTGCAGATAGTTAACTTCCTATTTCATAAAGATGGTTTTAATATACCATTTTTAAGGATTACTGCTTTGAAAGCTATATATGTATATGTAGTACCACCCATTATTAACCAGTCATTTGGTGCCCTCGCCAGGTGCCTGGCCCAGAAATCCTGGAGTGCTACATTCCGTGAAAACTTCAGGTGGTAGGACACAGCAGAAGCATTCGCTGCGGTACTTTCATGATACCTGCCAGGGGCCATAAGTCGATTCTGGGGAGCCTGTAATCTACGAAGAAAGACGTATGGAAGTTAGGCTTAGGAAAAGTTATACTTAGAATTTTAGAGTCGGATGGGGGAGTTCCTAGAGGTCACCCAATCCAACTTCTGTTCACAGACTTCCTTGTGGCAACAGTAAGGGACGTGCTCTCTCAGTGAGGCGAGCTCTTGTGTTAGAAACGTACCTGAGGCTGGACTAGAGCCTGTCTCCCCTGTTTCCGTTTGTGGATCTAGTTCTGATTCCAGCCATCTTCACAGACTGCCCTTACAATATTTTAAGACCATTGCAGAGACCCCTTAAACTTCCCTAAATATCACAGGGCCCTTATCTTTTCAAAAATGGCCCTTCCAGAGCACCTCGCACCGATTCCTGGCTGCCCTCCTCACGCTCAAGTGTATGATTTAAAAATATATACATTCCTCTTGTGAACATAAACATCTCGTGCCCTCTCTTGTTACTGAAAATTAAAAAACAATTGGTCAGTTGATCAGCACGAGCCATTATTCCTCCTGGAAGTGTACAGACCACGCATGTTGTCTGATAATACAGCTGATGCTTATCATACCAAGACCATGCGAAGCAATATCAAGTTAACGATAACCCTGTGTGTTAGGTGGTAACCCTCCGTGTAGGCAGAGAGGTTAAAGAACTTGACCAAGGGATGAATAACCCTGTGTGTTAGGTGGCAACCCTCCGTGTAGCACCTACTCAGTAGGCAGAGAGGTTAAAGAACTTGACCAAGGGATGTACAGCTAGACGGGGGCAGGTGTGAATCCAGGCAGCCTGATGCCAAGGTCTACCCTTGAGCAGCACTCCACGGCACAGTCAGGGGTGCGAAGGACGCCAGGGGGACACTCGGACAACCGAAATGAATTCCCATCGGGTTATGTCTTTTGGAGTTTCCTTCCATGTAAACTATTCCCCTAATACCTTTCTGTGCAGTTTGAAAATCTAAATGGAAACATTTACGTGGATTAAAATTTATGTCACACAGGCCTAGTGCAGCCTTTCGGTGTTTGTTAGCTTCTCCTCCCATTTTTTTGTCCCACAGACTTGATAAGCTTTTATGACCCCAATCAGTGCTTAATCCACTTGTCATTGCCCAAGAAATTCTAAAATGATCTGCCCGTGTGACATGTTAAGGTAAGGACATCCCTGACTCACTAAGTTAGGCTGCCGGCTCAAGTTCTCAGTTGCAAATTTAGCTCCCATTTTTTATTACGCTTCTTTCCAAGTGAATTGATATGTATTTAATAAAGAGCTCAATTTCTAAAAGTAATGGAGGCAATAGACATTGTGTACCAGGACCGCTCACTCCAAGTGGATGTGTCCTTACCCCACAAAGAGCTCAAGGTCTCATCTCCCTAGATTAATGATCCTCAAAGGAACGTGCCCAAGAATCACTTG